TCCTTTCAATCATAAGGAACAATAATTCTGTAGAAAAACAAATAAGTAGAAATGTCCTCATACAACTTCCAAGCCTCGTACCAAACGGAATTTCTGAGTATCTTGACGGATACAAGTAGCAGAACAGCAGGCAACCCCTCGATGAGCTGCCTATCACCTGGCAATTATCGCTTAAACCGCTTAGATCAACGCCTATAGCTCGATATTATTACGTTTAGCCTGTTACCACGATTAGTAGCGGGGTATTAGTATAGGCAGCCGTCTAATACCAGCCATCCCCTTTCACCTGTTGAACAGACCGTTGTGCACAATGACGGCCCCCTACGCACCTGCACGCGCGTGTGCGTGTTCGTGCGTGAGCTACGAGCATCCCGTGTCTCGCTTGCTCTCGCGCGCGATCCTCACGCGTGTGCCACAAGCTCAGGTGTCGACGCGAGTTGCAGGAGCCACCGCGTAAACGCCACGTTGCAAGGGTAATAGGCAGGTAATAGATAGGATGATGACAGGCGAGAGATGGGCACGGGGTGAGAGTCGGGGGCGCTGCGTCAGCGAGCGGCATACAGCTGGAGATGTCAAAGGCCTGAACGCGATATGTTTCGGCTGATTATGTGGAATATGGGGCTTTCCCTGCATTCTACAGTCAGCGTATTTGGGGCTTGATCAGCTCGAGTGAGTGTCTCGATCGAAATTATTAACGAATACTGGATTTTTAATCGCGATAATCGTCCATTGCATATATCGTCCATAAATATACGGGTATTATTGACGAAATATAAATATTTTAATTCTGAAGTTTGAGAAAATATAATTGTGTTACGTATATTTGATTTATTTTTAGATTTATTTTTATTGATAGTTTTAGATTGACAATTTTTCTTTGATTAAAAACATTTTACAAATATTACGTAATAAATAGTATTAATTTTATTTAATTATTTATTTAATTATTTATTTAAAAAACCAATATTTGCCTCAACATTTCATCTACAATTAGGAAAGATTGTTGGTAATCATTTTATCTGCAGTGTGTGTTTAACGTTGGCAAACAACAAAGCTATAATGATCTACTGTGTTACGATGTGTTGCCAGAAATCACTCTGTGTTTGTACACATCTTTTATCTACAATTTTTTATTTATAACTTTTTATCTACATTTTAGTGATGTAAGTAACTCAAAATTGAGGATTATATAGGTTTGTATACTTTTGCTTAAAAATTTTATCTGTTATTTTTTATCTATAATTCAATTTTATCTACAGCTTAAAATCATTCATGTTTTTTTTTTATGCACACACAAATACAATATTTCATATCTTACTTGATTTATTTTATATTTATTTATCAAATACTGTTAATGAGAATAAAAGAATTATTGTATAAGTTGTTTCTTATTATAACTATACAATACTAAAATTATTATAAAATATCGTTCTTAAAATGCGCTTAAAAAATATTCCAGTTAATATTTAAAAGTACTAAAAAATAACATCTTAACTAATAAATATAGTGATAATTTAGCTTTAATAGATTATTCAAGAAATCTCTCTTACCTTCATCGATGGGAATCTGATTTTCTTGAAGATTCTCGTTGTTGTTGGTTTCCGGCGGCAAACCCGGTTGTTGATGTACGAGCGACGAAGCCGGTTGTTTGGGCTTGACAACTCGAAATGCTGATGCCTCGGCAACTCCTCGTCTCGAAAAGTCTAATGGACCCACCCCAACAGGCGAGTGTTGCTGCTGCACTTCCATCATCCTGGACCTCGAGTCCGTTCACCGTTTTACAACTTTCGCGTCACTACACACGACATTCGCATCTCTTCCTCCAACACGCTTGCAATCTTTAAGTTTCTCAGCAATAAACAAACATACACAATCTTCCCTAATCTAATTTCAAATGAAATTATCCAGAAAATCCTTTCAACAAACGTCGGCAGCCTCTAAGAATTCTTCAAATATTTGTAAACTTGCGTCTTCAGGAACAATGATTTCTCAATAATTATCGAAATTGTTTGTTTGATAATTTTTTAAGTAAAGAATGTGTCTTCTTCAGCAATGTATGCAACCGCAAGTATGCTCGGTACAATCCTTTCTCAGGACTACCTGTTCACGGACTTCATCCTTTCATGGGATGTCAACATCAATCTCGTGGTACAAGCACTAGAGATTCTTTTGCCAACACGGTCAAGACACTCGGATTAGTCTGCTGGTAATGGTGATTCGTCAATACCTGGATAGGCCCCCAGCTTCACAGGACAGTTTTTGTCTATTTTGCGATACAATAAATACGTGTCGCGCAAGAGACGGGACTTTTGGTTGTCAGTGACACTGATTTTCGTGCAGTCCATCGGCCGGTCGGGAAACGGCGGAGCACCGGCTTAAACCCGGGGATGTGAGAGACGTTAGCTGTTAGAGCGGGTGCCTCGACGCCGACTGCTGTTAACGGGTCTGATAGTGGAGGGACTCCCATGCGATGACGGTCGCGAGAGTGGCGGACGTAGAGAAGGACAGAGACGGAGAGAGCCACACGAACGGCGCACACAACGTCGACGTTTATACGGAGAGGGAGAACACCCACACAGAAGTGCGATGCACACCAAGATTTTGGTCCCGGGTCCCGCCTCCCGGGCACGCCTTCTCCATTCCACTCCACCCACACACACACCGGGTTGCTCCCTGTATACGTGGTGATACACGCACGAACCAACACGTGGACGATCGTCGAGCTACGAAAGGGAGTGGGGCTGACGACGCTACCGAACGCTACCGGTCGTCGTTGCTGCGGTACCGCATGAGGGGTTGCTGATGGGGTTTTATGCTTGTATGCGTTTGTGCTTTCGCTATATGTGCGCGTGGGTTCACATCTGTACGAGTCTGTCTGAACTGCATCGGCCAGCGAACACGAGATACACGTTGCGCGCTACGCTCTCTCACCTCCTGGTTGCAGCATTATGTGGAACCACTCGGCCACCCTGATTCCACTCTTGACTCCACTGATTGATATTTGCGCGCTGCCCTCGCACACTTGAACGTACATGCACGTACGCCGCTCGGCGCTCGTCCTTCAACACCCATCGTGATGGTGGATGCTGCTGGATACAAGGAGCGAACTTGGAAAATTTAGGCAACGAGGGCGAAGGTGAAAGAGAGCTCCGCGCTTTTATGACCGCAAGGGTGATCTTCGATATTTTCGGGAAGATAAGATTTCGAAAGAGATAAAATCTTCGTGGCTGTGGTTGAGAAGTTTCTACATCACGTCCATCGCTCTTTCAGGGAATTATGTACTTAGATAGTGTCTATTTGGAAAAATAAGTTTGAAAGATATAAAGAAATTTTAGAGTATTAATGTGATATATGAAAAATCAAATATATGTAAACTTTAGATAAGAGCTAATATATGTATGATGCAATCAAAATTAAACATTTGTTGCAAACACGAAAAAAACAGAAATCTGATTATACCAACCAGATTAAATAGTAAAATATGAAACAACTATTTATGTAGTTGCTTGAACTATAGTATAATGATTAGATTAAGTTATATTGCAGCAATGACGGCATTTCACATATACATATTTTTAATTGTAAGCGTGGTGAGTCGCTTCTGCTTTTTGAAATTGCAACTTAATTTATAGCATAATATAATAAGAAATTCTTATTAATAATTTAATTCTTATTATTATACATCATGTTTTATATTGTCATGATTGACGCAACTATACGGATATATAACTTATTTATAAATAAATGACCCCCAACCAAGTTTCGGTTGTCAAAATCGTGCTTAACTACATTAATGTAGTTGACACATCAAAGTAAATAAATCGTATCAACCGTTTCTATCGCATAAAGATATCTAGGATGATATTTCTATATTGCTCACAACTAAATATTTTTAGTTATGTAAACTATATCTTTTTTTTCCTTGTAAACAAGCAAAAAATGATAGGTGATCAAAAAATGATAGGATTTTGATGACGTTGTTTAAATGTTTGATAACAGATTAAAAAATTGTGTGTTTAGGAATGTTGAAATTTAAAGCAATATTAAATGATTGACATATCTTATGACAGATTTTTCCTATGTTAGCTCAGACAAGAATTTACTTTAATCTTTGCTCTTTCATAAAATCGAGCGCGTATCCTCGATAGGAACGTTGAAAATCTTTTATGATACGCTCTGAAGGGATAAATCTAACACGATATCGAGCGGCAATAAAGTTTATCAAGCGTCAAACAGTTTTAACGGTTTAATCGCCTGTCGAAGCGACAACGGTGTTTTTTCCGAACTGACGTGACTTTCGATAAAGCAGAATTTTCGGTGCAATTTCGCATATTTCGATAATTAAGATACATTGTGTGCAATAGGCTTAAATTTTGTTGCCAAAAATGTATGCAGTGTTTGTTATTTGTCTGCTTTAACGTTTAAGACTTTTGTTGATATCAAATTATGATATTAGAAGCGTAAAAATACACAGTGAGTAAAAATTCTTACAAAATATATTAAAATTTTTCAATATAAAACAACATTTATAAAAAAAGTTAGTATCGATTCAAATACCAAAACCTCCCCTTTCATTTCATTAATTAATTAATTAATAATTATATATTTAGAAATAAATAATGCATATATAATTAGAAACAGAAATAAGCTATGGCCACAGTTACTATTGTCAAATTAATATAATATATAGAAATAAATATAATTTAATTCCTCCCTATAAAACAAAACGGTAATTTTCAGTATATTTTGTAAGTCAATTCTGCAAATGTCAATTGATTGCAAATGCTGTTTTATTGAAAAATGTTTCTATTGAAATATAATTTGCAAGAATTCTTATTGTATATTTTCTCATTCTGACGTCATAACTTAACATAGCGATGAGTGGACAAAAGCTTTAATTCAATCGCCCATATATAAAAGATATATAAAAAACACAAAAAATCTTCCACTGCATTGATAATCGATGCTTTAATTTATTCCATTTCTCTTCGTTTTTTTTATCCGATAAGACGAGATTACGAATTCATTTTTCGTGTGCTTATTCATCATGATAACGGTTGCGAAATTATCGGAAATGTTTGTGTAAATAAACTTAGTAATTATTAAATTAATGCCAAATTAAATTTAAATACTAATTATTTTAGTAGTTATTAGAATAATGAATATTTAAAAGTTGGAAACGTAGTTTGAAGGTATAGAATTTTTGAATAAATTAAGTGATATAAATAATTGTTTATATAGAGCTTTTGCGAGTAGTCGGAGTATAGTTATGCCGTTACCATCCATAAATTAATATGATTCATAACACAATTTAATTATCATGCTACATGCTTGCTCGCTGCTGCAACGCAGCATTGCATTGAAACGAATCAGATGCGAAAGCCAAACATAACAGAATTTAACAGACATGCAACTTGTTAAAATTGCATCCTAAGAAATGTCACATATTCCATGACACACACAAAACACACACACATTGACAATATATCTTAAAAATCATGGTAAAACGTCCACATCTCGGAAATCACTTTTATAATCAATTCTATGAAAGCTTAACGACCAATAAAGGAGTTAACGATGTAATCATTTAATGTTTAGATTACAAGGAATAGATTGCGGTTTCATTTTGAACGCATTTCAATATAACATCGCAATATCATTATCATTATAATTTGCCGCAAAAACGGCATATAATTTTGACATTTCATTATGCTTTTAACATATTGTATTTATTTAATAAATTTACAAATGCAATAGTATTATTAAATCGCAGAACGATCAGATACTATTATATTTTTGTCACAAAATGGCTCATTTATGTAAATAGTCACACAATGATAAATATCGTTATATGGACAATAATACATTTGTTAGATTGGATTCTCAGAATAATGCAGTATCTTGTTCTCTTTCCACGAGAACTCTTTCGCTGGAGTGCATATAACTAAGAAAAACTCAACTAAGTTTCTTGAGATGATACTATATCTTTCCTGGCAGATGATTCTCTGCGCGTACGCTGGGAAATCGAGATGCAGCGGTTCAGCTTAGTACAGTCCCGCGACTGAATGCGCAAAGTGTAGTCGGTTGTAACACCGAGAGTGTCGCCGTCATCATCATCGTCGTCGTCGTCGTCGTCGTCGTCGTCGTCGTCGTCGTCGTCATCGTCGTCGTCGTCGTCGTCGGGAGCGTAAGTATCCACGAGCATGACGCGAGACGAGATGTTGGACGTCAGGCAAGACCGACAAACCGCATCAATCATATTCACTCACTCACTCACTCGCATCGTCATACGTTCTCCCTGGAGCACCGACGATGTCCCAGGGCCGCTCCATCTTCGGAAGAAAATTGCTTACTCTCATACTCTACGAATACGGTTCCCGGTAGCGACGCGGGCGTGCGAAAAGCTGTACGACATCCCCGACCTGCGAAAAAAAGAGAGAAAAAAACGGCAGTCGAGGGAAGTAAGGAGGATACAAGAATAAGAGCGTGACGGTGAAATTACGAGGCCATGAAGATGAAATCGACTGCGTGAGAATCGTTTCATCGTTTCATATGGTTAAGAGAGAGAGATAGAGAGAAATAGACATTTTAACTAAATAATAGGTAATCATTGATACTTGTTATTTATTAGATGTAATTATTTATCAAAATCTTATACGCTCATAGATTGCAGTATCCAAGAAATTTATAACTTCATTTTTTTAACATAATAATATAAATTTTAATATAATACAAAATAAATATAATGAAAAAATATGTTATTTCCTTCTACCTTCAAATTATTGTCAAAATTGTCAACTGGTACCCACTGTTTTATGCATTGAAATCGTCTTTCAGAATATATATATGTGTATATGATTATTCACAATTATTCATATATTTGAGAGTAATTACCGATTAGTGATTAGAAAAGCATTTTAACACCGTCTACTAAACAATGGTTCCGCCTAATATCTTAAAGATTATATTGTGTAGACCTTCTCAGATAATTTGTCAGGGAATCTCACTTTCATAACGAGAGAAAAAAGTTCTGACGATATTTTTTGGCTCGATCATTCTTAGCTAGGATTAGCTTTGTTTGTCGTACAAGAAATCACCAGTATTCTGATAGGATGGCGAAATATGACATCGTTCGTTGATCTGCTTTAATCATATGTTGATTTTATGTGTTATCGCAACGAACGTGTATACGAACCTACGTATATATAAGTTGGCACTACCTTAGCAAACTAGTTCAACAACACCGGATATACGACGGGCAGCCGGCTGGCGCCACGAATTTAGTACTTGATTGTCCCGTCGAACAATTGTTTCGCCGGTGGTAAATGCGAGAGAAGAGACCGCGGGTGTCCTTCTATCTTTCTCTCTCTCTTTCACTATCTATCTCTTCGTTCCTTCCTCTCTTTCTTGCTTTCTC